GGGGAAGGTTCCCCAATGTGACCGACCAATCAGCATCACCAAAAGTTGTTGGCGATAGCATGTAGCAATTGTATGGAAACCAAGCTTAACAGAACAGAGAATGGTGTCAAATTTGAATATCATAAAGAACATGGAAGTAATTTTCATGATCAGAATTTCTTGCCAAGTTTTTGAATGTTCCTCACTGGTTTATTTTTATTTATTTATTAAACTTTATTTACCGAGGGTAACCCAAAACAGCGGTTAGCTGACAATCATGGGGCCCTCGCATAAAAAAACAGCAAAATACAAAACAACGGCAAAGCGAAGTTAACAAGAAAAAGGCCAAAATACAAACAATATTAAAAAATAAAAAATATATATAAATATAAAAATAGAAAAAAAAAAAAAAAAATGAACCACTGTTGCAGCGGGCTGGGGCTTGGTGCCTAGAATCTTAAGTAGGCTGTTAAGTAAAGTTTGCAACAACAGTTTTACTATCATCAGGAAAAGCAAAATAAATCTTTTTTTGGGAAATACAGAGTTCATTAGACCGGAACAATACAGAAGCTTAGGTTAAAAGAATATTTATACACAATGATTCCGAACAATTTGTCAGGCAGTAGCATATCTAGGGGCACACAACCCCCATCCAAACAGAGCTCTCCTCCTCCCCACCCCCCAAAAAAAGCTGCTCCTTGGCACCAGTGGCGGCGCTACAGGGGAGCTACCGTAAGCCCCCGTTGGGGAGAAAAACCACCATTCGTCAGGGAGGAAAAAAATTAAAAAAAATTACCGTATATGTATTTTGTACATATTAATAGACTCTAAAATTGATTAATAATCCTTTGAAACCCTTAAAATTTCATATTTGGGGGGGGGGGCTTACGTCCCCTGGATTACTTTTGAAAGGTTTTTAGCGACGCCTGACCATGCCCACTTTTTTCTCTCATCAGGGACATCAACCCCCACCCCCTCCCGTCCGCTGCTTGCCACTCAATTGAAAATGTCTGAAGCCAAAAAATTATGCTCATGTAGTTGAAAATCACCTCATATCACCTAGTGGTCCTCACTAAATCACTGGGGTCCACACTCTACCTACACACCCCTATCATCTCCACCCCCCCCCCCCCTCCCCCCCATTTCAAGACTCGTATATATGTCACTGCTATGAGGTTACTTTAGTAGGTTGTAATTTACTTATTTTATTTTTAAGAATTTAGTGTTACAGTAGTAGTTTAAACAGCCATTTCCTAGTATCTAATACCCAATTAACTATTATAAGGCGACATGACAACATTAATGGAGCAATTTATTATTGCCGAGGAAACGATCGTATGATCTGTAAAATGTGGGTGCTTCCTCTTATAGTTATTTTTGGATTAACTTTTTGCACATGTGTCTTTTTAACATCACAGCATTGTTCTCTCTTTTCCCAGATTTTCACCTTGTTTCACAAACTCATCACCTGACCTGATTTTGAAATTTTTTTTGGCCTGTTAGCACAATTTTTCCAAATGAGAAAGTAAATTTACATATTTTGTTCTGCCCTCCACTGATTAGGATATAAATAAGTCTTGCCTTAAGGCCTGTTTACACTATGACAATAATGATCAATGATAAAAAGCTAAAACAGCAATTGTTCATATAGAAAATAAAAGAAATAAGAGAAGTTTTAACACTAGCACAATTCGATAACGGTTTATCGAGTACGATAAAAAAATATTTTCACAAATCAAATCAAATGACGTCATAATCATGGGAAAACAATAAAATCATAGTAGTAAAAACGATTTTATCGTTTTCCCATGAACATTTGATCTTATTTGTGAATATTATTTTTTTATCGTATACACAATAAATCGTTATCGAATCGTGCTAGTGTGAAAAATTCTCTTATTTCTTTTATTTCTTTTTAGCTTTTTATCGTTGATCATTATTGTCATAGTGTAAACAGGCCTTTATAGTGTGACAATTTTAAGAAGTAAATTGTTTTATTCAATAAGACTTTTAAAAAATAATCATTTGGTTAACAGAAAATCCCAATAGAAAATTTAAAGTATTATTATAATAGTCATATTAAATTATAAAATAAATAAATTAATTAAATAGTTCAAGAGTATTCAAGATGTATCTGTTGTCTGTTGCTTTTATACTGATTAGTTTTAATATTCCTCATGCTTGCAATTGTTAATTATATTTAGAATATAACCATAATTTGAGCCAATATGAAAATCTATGCTGGACAGCCTTGTGCTGTAAACTGTGGCCAAAATGTGCAGTGAGGTATTGGCACGTAGTTTTAGCTTCATGGTATCCATTCTTTTTAATCCATTTACTTCAACTCTACATCTGTGTCTACAATGAAATTCTTAAGCTTTGCCTAAACTATCAAATTTTATGTGACATGCTTAAATATGGTCATAATGATATATCATAACCATATATAGGCACATCATGACTATATATGGGCATACAACAAAGAAAATTTGATTATGTGGATAAAACTTTAGAACTAGATGTTAGCCTGGTACTCACGAGAGACCTAGTATCAGGTTCGGGAGCTAACCGTTAGCACTAACCGTTAGCACCTGCGTGAGAATGCCCGATCGGTTATCGCTACCTGTTAGCAGTATCCGGATACCGCTATCGGTTAGCAAGTTGAGCGCGTTTTTATCATCAACCAATCACACGTACGCGTTTACAATTTCCAGTTTCTTATTGGCCAGTGATTCGATCATCATATTTTTGGTATCCGGATCAGGATTTTCCCATTTGGACACACGGCAGCTAACGGTTAGCAGGATCTGGATCCTGCTAACCATTAGCAGCCATGTGAGAACGTAGCCTTTATCAAACAAAGCCAGGGAAACTACAAGCAAATGGGAAACCAAACCAAGACAGAAGTGCAATTGAGTTAATCAATAAGTTCACATAAAAGTACATACATATCAACAAGGTCAAGACCTATTAATTAAAGCCAACAATACTTTAAACTATTAACAAAGAAAGCGCAGAGAATCGGTTTCACAAAGGCAGAAACTTTCCCCTGATGAGTACTACAACTTTTTAAGCCCAATCCCATATTTAACCAAATTACCTGAAAATTCATAATCGTTGCTTGTATGGTAAATATTTAATTTAAAAGTCCTTTCAGCATGTAGTGCATTTCTTGTGCTTTCTTTTCCTAGCAATTATTTATTGTTCAGTCCATCCAAGGCTTGCCATTAATTTAATAATCTACTAATTCAATAAATAAGTACAATTCAATTATTTAATAAATAAATATTTCTTTTAGTAAGATAATTAATTACATTAACTATAAAATAAGTGGAAAAAATTTGGTGCAATAAGGTTAATTATCATAAGAGGATAGTTTGATATATTTGGGTAGTGCAACCAGGTAATCCTTTCATTATGTACTGTTATGGTTTAATGTTTTTCTTAATTTAAACATTAATGATTTTTTTCCTTGAACTGGTGTTGTAATTCTTTTTAATGTAAGTTTCTTAAAATTATATTTGCAATTCAGCTTCGGGTGCCATTGAATGATTTCATATATGTTCGACATTTTTGAAATAAAGATACTGTTCATATTAAGCCCAAAAAAGAGATATGGATAGAGTTAAAAAAGGTAAAATAAACCTTCTTTCACCACCACTGAATCCGCCACTGAAAAAAAATTTCAATATCTTGATAGAATACTTAGCATTATAAAATTATTAAAAATTTTCTTTCCCATTTACATGTATATTTACAAATGCAAAAATAATACTAATTCTATAAGCATACTGTAAAGTTTAGACTTGGAGCTATAAAAGATTATTCTCAATCTTGGTCAATGGCGGATTTAGAAGGAGGAGGGGGGGCGTGTAAAGCTTATCAGAAAATTATCATGCTAAATATTAAAAATCAATCAAATAATAACTAAAATTAATGAAGGTCCTAGAGGTGTAAGTGATAATCTTCCCTTGCACCCCTACCAGGGGCTCTTTCCTGAGACTGTCACTTAGTTCGGGCATTCACGCCCCCCCCCCCCTTTCTTACTGGACTGGATCCGCCCCAGTTGGTTAATTGTCTCCATGTTCAAATAGTAAACAGCATATATTTTTCACAATCAAAAAATATACTGACACCAGCTGTGGTGCCACGATTGGTTTTGCCAGATGCTTAATCCCCAACCCTGCTGACGCCACCACTCACATCAACAGCTTTTTAAGTTCAGAAATAGAAAAGGATCACAAAACCATTGTAGTATGACTTGACAAGCATTAATACACAAAGGGAATGATTTATGTTTGTTAGGTAAAGAAAAAACGTAGGGGGAAAATGCTAAAAATAGTAAAAGTACTTAGTTATAGCATGGACGTATAACATTATATACCCCCATGGTTATAGGTACTGACATTTGTACCAAGGAGGTATAAAAATAAATAAAATATAAACATTTTTATACCTCCTTGAATTTCTTATATCCTTGATGGAAATAAAGAAATTGTATTTTAGATTTCTTGAAAGATTTTTGTGGTTGTCAAAAATTTCACTAACACCTTTGTCCTACTGTCCATAAAGAGCAACAAAAGACATATCTTGGAATACAGCCTCTGTGTTTAACCTTCAACCTTCATTCTATTGAATTAGCAAAGAACTTTTTATAGCATCCTATGAATAATTGACGTCAGAAGAAAGAAAAAGAGGTTGTCTAATGGATATTCATGTTGGGAGTTCTAAATGTACAAATGAAAAAGCCTGAAATGGGCCCTTGGTCTTTATTGTGTTTGGCAGACTGTAAAAGAGATAATACAAAGTTGTTTTGCTTGAATCTCTCAAGCGTACAAAAAACTGATAGCTGTTGAATATGAATAGAAGATGAGAGATCATTAGCACACAAAGGTAGTTAGGCAAGAGCACCTGATCATTGTACAGGCCTAAACACAGGTTGAACGCATTGCAGAGTGTGACAAAGGTACTGAGACATTTCAAACAGAACTCGACTAAAAACCACTAAAAAGTTGTCAATTATGGCAATTGCTTTACTTTTTCTTTTATGTTGTCTTGAGATTGCTGGTGCACAGAACATATCTGTGAATCCATCAACGGTAGAAGTTTTGGAAGGTGGTGACGTTACTTTGACGTGCGAAGTTACAAATTATAAGGAATCATACATTTTACACTGGAACAGAATCGATGGAAATGTTACAGGGGATCGGGCGATGGAAATATTTACCACTGATGGTAAGGTAAGGCTTGAAATTAACTCTGCTCAGATAGAAGATGCAGGTACTTATTTCTGCACCATGTATGACAAGGAACTGAAAACGGTTCAACTTTCACTCGCTTCAAAAGTCACCGTATTATTCCACGTTCTCGATATGTATCCTCTGTGTGCATTTTCCCAATACCTTGGGCAACTTCAAGTTGGTACGCCGGTTGTTCTGAGATGCCAATATCCATCAAGGGATCTAAAGAATGTTACTTCCCTAGTTTGGGAGAAAGGCAACCAAGAGAAGGTGAAAGGTAAACAGTGGCAGTATTTGGATGAACAAAAGAAAATGGTGTTCTCGTTTCTGAACTTCACAGCCACTGAAGACCTTCATGATGAAACATTTACATGTACGTATCATAACCAGTCCATACGACACCAACACCAGGTCTGCCATATAGGGCCTATAGGTGTTCATTATGCACCTAAAGTCAAGGTTTACCCGGGAGAAGTCAGCATTGATGCCGGTGATGTACAAATACAGTTTAACTGTAGCGGACCAGCTCAACCTAATCTTGTCTCATACGTATGGCACATTATTCCACAAACCGAAGGAATAAAAACACGTGAAATAAACAATGGCAAATCTCTTATACTCACCGATATCTCACAGGAACTTTCTGGCCACGATTTTGAAATTAAATGTGCCGCAATCAACAAAGTAGGAGTGACCAATGTGCAAGCAGTTTTGCATATAAAACCGGAACACACCGACAATGAATCCTCATTTACTAGCTCAATAATCTTTCCAGTTGCAATCGCAGTTGCTGCAGTCTGTTTTATCTTTCTGATCATCTTCACTAGCTGTTTTCTTTTATCAAGACGAGAGAAAAAAAACGTGCAAGAGCATTTCCCTAACAATACTCTGGAGTTTAACAATCCTGGCAGTGCGTACGCGACTCCTGTCCAAAGGGCGGAAGCAAATCCATATGCGACAGTAGATGCTGCAGGATTGGTAGTCAATCTTCCGGATCCAGAGCAAGACGGCGCTTATGCCAAAGCCGAGGAGTTTGAGAAAGATATTGTTGAACTTATTAAAGAATGATTCTTATTAATGTGACTGCAATACAACTTACATACATGTCTTCCTCTAATTAACAAACCATCAAATTAAAGTCCACTTATAAATTAAAGACCAATTTCTGTGGTCCCATATTAACAAATGTCTTTTATCTTTATTATTCTAATTAAAGACCAGCATTTCAGGGAGACCTGTATTTTTTTTTTTATTTGTGCCACCATTAAACTTCTCTTCACACAACCTATTTTAATGTGGCAAATACCACAGGTGATTTGCCCATGAGGTGAGACATTTTTTATACCTTGTTAGCTAACAAGTTAGCGAAATAATGATGATTTCTAATAAAATAGAATTTTATTTTTAGCCATTTAGCGGAAGAAGTGAAAATTTCAGAAAAAGCTGCCTTGAAATTTCCAAAAATAAAATATGTATATTTCTTCCTAATTATATGAACTTAGAGCATATAACAATCCCATTACTACACTATACACATTCACCAATAAAATTGTATATTTATTTTCTACTCCGCTTGGAGGTTTTTTACCATTTGCTAAATAAGAAAACAAAATTTTATATTTATTTTTTTCCCGCCCTCCTTGACTATCAATAAAAAAATAAGTTTGCGAAACAAAGTATAAAAAAACGTCTCATGTGGGTATGATATGACACCATATATGGGCAACTCACAAATATTGTAACAGATGTGAACCGAGGAAGGTCTTTTAGAAAAAAAATTAAAATATATAAATCATAATTATATATGTTATAATTCATGTTTATAGAAAGGATGTAATTCAATATATGAATAATAGCTAACTTTGTATGAGAAAGATACCAGCTTTTAAAATAACAAATTCTTTTCATTGCCAATTTACATAGTGTTTCTAAATTCTTTCATGTAAACTCTTAAATTGGATATTACTGCCTTGAATTGAAAGATTTTTATAGTTTAAATTAGAAAATACATTGTGTGGATTTATGTCTCAATAGAAGTTGTTAACGTGATCACTTTTTATAAGTAATTCAAATTTTCACTTGAATAAGTTTTTCCAGATTTCAACAAAGATTGTACGTCCCCAAGGATACAATGGTTTTTAATAGTCTCAGCTAAATATCAACACTACACTCTACTACAATAGAAAATACTGTAAATAACAGGATTCTGGGTGGATATACCTGTATTTTCTGTCTGTTGAAAATGTTCAGCCATGGTTGACATGTGAACAATGATACCAAAATATCAACAAAGCTGACGATTTGTTGACGCACAAGCAGGACTTGTGATGTTTTGTCAAATCAGACACTACCATTTAATGTTAATTCTTATTTTGTTCACAGAAAATCCATGTTAGCAAACTGTAATGCACAATAAAGTCTGTAACTATATAATAATCAGAATAAAATATTGAGTTAAGAGGCAAATAAGTAAAAGTAATGTTTAACATTACTTCCTTTAATTTTCAATATTAGTTTCTTTCACTATTAATTTTTGTAGACTTATTTAGATTCTTTAATTTAAAGTCATAAGTTTATAAAGTATGTTTTTCTTGACTGTTAAATTAGGAATAATCATGATATATCATATCATTATAATATAAAATGCAATAAAAATACCATGGTACATAAGAATATATTATTGAACTGTAAATATACTGTACTGTATAGTTATTACTTTTTGATACTGGGTACTGGTTAAAATCAGATTCTGAAGACAAAAAAAGATGTTTTACAAATGATTTTCAACATACTAAGTGGTGTGATTGTAGAACAACTAAAAGTACAGATTTAATCTCCAGGAAATAGGAACATAGCACATTTAGTTAAAACTGGTGGTAAACAATGTGTGTATGCTGAACCATGAAGATCTTTGTGTGTCCTTGTTTAATCCGCCTGTTAAATACAGGTTATTGCACACCGTCTTTTGGAAGGCATTTTTAACACACAAGTTCATGTTCAATAGGTTTCACTCGGGCACCAAAAACTGTGAGCTCACATCCAAACATTTTGTAAGATTTTTAACATGCTTTTGTATTGCATGAAAAACTTGCTGGCAGTGGTTGCCGGAATATAAATTCTTGCCATGTGCAGTCATGGGTGAAAAAGACTATGGCACTCCTTGAAAAATAGTAAAGAGAATTGTCTCCTGTCACTGCACTGTGGCTAATGCATTCACAGGGGCTTAGGCAGAATTTTATAGCTACTCAATAGGAGGAGAATGAGTAACTATAATTTTACTATTCTTTCCACTACAATTATATGATCATTAAAATATGAAAATATATTCTACCTGTGATCCAATTCCTGAATGCAGATGCCTTGCGAACAAACCTGCCAACTTTACTAGCTTCAACAATTGCCGTCATTTTCAAATAGTTTCAGATTGTGATTGTCTCTGGAAGAAACCATAAATTTGTTAAATATCCAACGTTTTGACACTGGCCATAATGCTTTAGTAGTAGATTATATATCTGCAGAATATAATACATGGCAACAACAAAAAAATATCTTCACAATAGTTATAACCGATGAGATACATGAGGACCTAACGAACACTATAAAAATTATCTCATATACATATTCAACAATTGTGAGCCAATTCATTTTCTATTCACAAGAGACAACATATGTTACACAGGATGCATGTTAAATACTATGTTATAAACAAGATATTCCTACTGGAATATCATTGTCTTCATACAAATGAATTATGAATCCTTGTGAAAAAAGTTAGTATACATGTGACCCACTAGTGCAGGGGTGGTCATATGGGTTGGAGGGCCAAAGTGAATTTTTGATTTAACACCGAAGGCCACACCAAAACCTTCATACACTGCTTTAATACCACTTTACCCTCAGTTTTAAACACAAGGTGTGAGCATTGATGTGGTGGGAGAGGCGCCTTAAAGAGGGTATGATGGGGGGTACAAAGCTGCTTGGTATGCAATTGGGCGATTCAGCATGTGATATATTTTTAAAATTTTGTTGACCAGCAACTTTTCTGATGGGAAGATGCTGCTGGTGAACAACCTTTTCCTGGAGGGAGGAGTTGATTTGCTTATCTTCCTTCCTTAGTATGCAATTGTTTGTTAAGCGGTCAGATAATGCGTCGGATTTCCTGTATTATAATCGAAGTCTATTCATAACAGAAAATATATAAGTAGACTCTCAGCATGTTCCCAATGTTTACATAAAAATTATACTCTAATAATTAATTAGCTCTTTCTATAAAAGTGATTATATTTCCGCTCAGACTACTGCTGAACCTAACAATTCACTCAAACTAACTTACTGGAACAGTGAACTGAAGTATTGTGTAAACTGAAGTCGCGTGCCTCCTTCAAGACTTACTGGCACCCGATTAAGCAGATTACAATTTAATATGATCTTTCAGTTTCAATTCTTTTAAGCATAGTGGACACATATACAGTTAATATGAGCAACAATCAGCTTCTTTTCATAACATTTAAATACAACATGGTCAGTGGCGTAATGCTGGGGCCGAGGGCTCTGTGGTTTTTCTGAGACTGGGGCCCTTTTTTGGTCCCCGTCGCAAATTCCATTGTGGGACTTAGAAGCATTTTTTTAATCATGTTCGCCTTCTTTTTTTGGTAAATTCAGTGGGTGGCCTCCTTTAATCCATCACTGGATATACAGTATGATATATGTCCTACAGATGTTAAGACAAGACTTTTTTTTATACCTTGTTTAGCAAACCCGCCAACTGCAAATATTGATGATTTCAAATACAATAATAAAATTTTATTTTTGGCCAATTAGCGCACCCGCCGCTACGAAAAAGTGGAAATACAGAAAAAAATTAAAATATTTCTTTATTTTTATTATGCCCTCTGCTGCCTTGAAATATCCAAAGATAAGATATGTATTTTTATTTCTAATTATATAAATTTGAAGCATTTAACCATCAGAACATTTATTATCATTACATTCACTAATAAAATTGTATTTTTATTTTCTCCTCCATCTAAATGTTTTTGGCAAAACTATTTGCTAAATAAGAAAACAAAATTTATTTTTAATTTTATTCCGCCCTTCTCTGATAATCTTTGAAAAAAATAAGTACGCGAAACAAGGAATAAAAAAAGTCTCGCCAAAAGACACATTACGCTGTTATGTATCAACAAAGCTCTCTAGGGTCAGGGTGCTAGATAGAGGACCCTATGAATATGGGGCCCCTTTAGGAGTCAGGTGCCCTGCGGGACCACCGCACAAGAGGTATCTTACTAATGTTACAATAATTATCATAGAAATACCAACAATGATAAATATTTTAAAAATAGGCTTGTGTCTTTGCCATATACTGCTTTGTATTGTGTTTACTAATAAAGTATACACATGGGACTCGGTTATCAGGAAATGTGTGGTGTTGTTTTTTGTTTTTTTTTATTACTTTTGTACAGTAATAAGTTATTTAAGATGAAATATGACCCATCATGTACCGCCACCGGATTTACCTTTTCCGCCATCTGTCTTGACCCCGAGAGGGCATAGACACAAAAACTATAACAAGTGAAACAACAGTACGGTAATTAATCAGCAAAGTAAAGTCAGAACTGACATTGCTTTAAAGTTGGCTCCGGATAATAATAAATATTAAAATAATTAAATATGTCCAAAGAATGTTTATTTAAATAATTTTTAGAAAAATATTTAAGATTTAATAGTTCGGATTGCAAAATTTATCCCTAAAGATCAAAAACAAATTTATAACAATCCACTCTCATTGGCCGATTACGACCTCCTAAACAATAAAAATATTTGACACTTGAGACCCAATAACAGCGAAAATGAAACTCCACATTCCTTTGCTTCAAGTCCCAATACTTTTTTTGCCTTTTATATTTAAATGTCTATGAATTTTAATGATATATTTGTATGATTTTAATTATCTCAATTCAGTTTAACCTTTATTAACCCTCAAATTTTCTGTTATTTCAATCTAAAAAATAAACTTTTCTTTTACAGTACAATGAGTCAGTTGAAGAATGATAACTACAGTGCTGTAC